TGCATCGCTTCTAGTAACAAGTGCCTTACTAGTAGTAACAAGAAGCTGGTAGTTCCTTCAGTGTTCGACCCCTCGAGAGCAACCACCCCCAACACCGGTCGGTGGTCGGAACGGGGGTCGGAACGGGGGGGTCTCCGACCATGCCACTTCCGCAAGCCTAGCGACATAGCTGGTGCTTCGGAAATTCGGACGGGTCAACCCCTTTCACTTCATAGGGTTGTCCAACAAGGTTGCTCAACCAGGGCTTTTTCCTGTGCATACTCTCTGAGGACATTCGGTTGAGCTCCAAAAGCATGCCGTTCTTCGTCTCGGAGTCAATGGAAACATCTGGATCCTTCAGCCTCCGTCCTCGTGTTATGCCGCATGTCCTACTCCAGCAGGGAGTAGCCCGATCCAATCCGTGCACCGCGTGAGCTCCAAACGCCACTTGGAGAGCTCAGGTGGACAACTGAATTTCAACCGCTTTGTTTCCGGTCGGTCGTTGCTTGATCGCCAGATGCCCAAAAGCACAGGGAGAGGCTTCGGAGATGGGTATGATAAGTCTAGAGGTTTGGTTCTCTCACACCTGCTTTATGATCTTTATGATATGTTTGTTTTCCCATTTTGTCGGATGTTCGTCTGTAGGGAACTCTATTCAGGCAGGTGCAAAAGTCTTTGCGAGTAGGTGTGTTTGGATGCCGTACCCTGACCCCGCAAAAGTGCTAACAATTGTTGCTTCAAGGTGCCGATCTTGTTGTGTGAGAAAGCGTCAGTACCTCAGTTGTCATCCTGCACCATTCAGTACTTAGACGAAGGTTGGAGTGTTATTTATCTCTAGGTCAGTTGGAAGGTGTGCAGGATGACTTGTCCATCACCAGTATGGGTTGAAGCTGCGCAGATTTGCCAAGCCTCATTCCATTCGATATTTGATAAACAGATCTACTGTCATCGATGACAGCATCTGGCTTGCTAGTGGTAAAAGCAAAATGATTTGATCCCATGGTTGAGGTGGTGACCTGTTGATTGATCGGTGTCAAACACCAGAAGGTTTGAAGTTGGTATTCAAGGGGGTTCCAGACCTGGAAATACTTTGGGCTTTGGATCCATTCAATGCAAATTTGGTTCTGTTCCAACATGAACTGTTTGGGTGTGTCTCAAACAAGCAACCACCCTTGTTTGCTCTGTTAGAATGAAATGCTGGTTCCCCTTATATCACTCTAGTTGCGAGATATGTGTGTGGGATTTTGGCGACTGCCCGGGCTTTGCCAAGGCCATGGCTGCCACTGCCGTGTTGCAAAAGAAGACCTTCGTCAGCGTGCAAGAGGAGGCGAGACCGGACACAAATGTTGTTCATTTGAAGGCCAGATGCAGAAGAGGGGTTCTGTTTATACCAGCAAGAAGCTACTAGGAACCAAGGGCATCGCTACTAGGAGCGTTCGGACGCTACTAGGGGCTCCTGGCCGTACTACTAGGAGCAATCTCGCTAAGGCTTGCAACAGGTAGAGATGTAGAGTGGAAGGACGATGTGAACTTGGTTGACGACCAAGAATCATCGAGTGCTAGGGTCAGCTTCGTCACTAGGTGCACATGGTTTCAGCCAGAGGGAGGTGCAGAAGCATGAAATGCTATCTTTGCAATTGATATGTGTGATGTGTTTCAGTGTATCAAGTTCAAGGGTAGGAGCAAAGCGCAATGTACTCTTGAGCTTAGGTTGCAAGTAGCTTTAGGTGACTGTCAAGACAAGGAAAGCGCTGTTAGAAGCCATGCTGGTTCTGCTCGTTCCTGTTTGGTAGGGTCTGTTTTGGGTCTCGAAGCCCAACATGGCACATCCCAAGTTCCCACTGCCGAAACCTGAAGAGGAAGATCTGAAGCTACCTGCTGATCCAGAATTGGTGTCCCGTGGAACCTGAGAGTTAAACTTTGCAGAGTAAATCTCTGCTTAGTTGTACCTCAAAAGTTGAAACTTCTTGAGACTTTTTTTTTTGGTGTCCTTTCTCTGCGCAGGTGGCCCACCAGCGCCTGGTGCAGAACAAGTGGTATCCGGGTGGCCAGCCCGTCGCCGCCATCGAAGGGGAGGACGAGGCCGCTGTGTGGTCTCCATCTGAAATCGGAGGATGCGGAAATGCAACAAAGTGAGGAGCCATTTGAATGTTGTTTTTCCATTTCATCTATATAGTTCTTGAATAGAACATTAGTCCATTTGTCTCAGAAATCGATAGCTTGCCACTTGAAGCGTTCGAAATCGTCAGATAAGAAGCAAGCGAAGCGAAAAGAGACTCGTAGGGAAACTGAACAAAGATTTGCCTTGTCTTTAGACCTTTCTTCCTTTTATTCTCAAGAACACTTCCTTTTCCAGGTGTCCAATGGGTAGCCGGATAGCTCCATGTGATCTTAGCTCAGCCTGTTTTCGGCGCGCTCCTCCAGGTGCGCTTCCTAGGCGGTGACTGCTACGTGCCACGATTGGTGGCCGCCACCGTTTCTCGGATGGAGCCAAACGCTCGCAAAAGAGCATGTGCGACGCTTGTTTTCCATGACGTACTGCTTTGCCTTAGTGTGGAAGTGAGGGTGCTGTGCTGTGCTTCGCTGTGCTTTGCTGTGCTTGTGTCATTCATCCGCACACTTCTCTCTAGCTTGGGCTCACTCGCCTGCTCGTGTCGTCTAGGTCGGTGATCACATCGACGCAACCGGAGATGATCAATGAAGACTCACCCATGGTAGGTTTCATGACAAAGGCAGATGGGTGCGTCAAACCAAAGAGATCGGATTCCCGAACCACCTGGGTCTTTTTGGTCCGTTTTGGAGGTTGAGACCTGGCGAATCTCACTGTGAGACATATTTCAAAGAACGGACCAAAGTATTCGTCTCAACCTTCTCCGGTCAACACGGTGAAGAATCAAGGAGGTGCTTGGAATAGAAAACATATATGAAAGGAAAAAAGATTTTTCAAGAGAAAAGTACCATACCAAAAAGCAAACCGGGTTGTTTTTCTTGTTTCTAAACGGAAACTGGAGAAACCAATCAGGTGGTCAAACGAGTCACTGCTCCAATGAGGTGCCCATCACCAAGCCGGCGCCGGGCCCAGCCAACGTGCCCACAGAGACCTCGGGCTATGCAGAGCCGCTCCAGGCGGAGCAGTTCGAAGGGAAGGAAGAGATGAAGGAGACCAGGTGAGAACCTAATAGCAATGGCCTCCAACCTAATAGCAATGGCCTTCAACCTAAGGAGTTACCAGTATGCCCTAGGTGAGAACTATGTGTCCAAATATCTTGTAATTCTGTTCTTTCTTTTCTTTATGTGTATTTCTGTGTTCCTTTGTTTCAGACCTTTAGACCTTGGTGGTTTTTCTTTGTCTCCTTTCCTTTTATTCCCAAGCTGTCTCTCAACTCCGATTCTGCAGCTTGGAAGGGCGCAGACTCCCCCAAACTTGCGTAACACGGGGTGGCTCTCATCAAAGACCTCCACAAGTCGTAGAAGTCTATCAGAACGAAGTCCGTTTGCTTCGGCACCTCTCTAGGAATTTCACTCTCGGTGGGGGCCAACCCGATGACATGGTGGTGGCACGTGGTCTTCAAGCTGTGCCTTCAAGTGGTTCCTACGCCTACCCTGGATAGGTTGAAAGGCTTCACCAATGAGGTCCAGTGGACGGCTTTGCAGAAACTGGTGCGGACATGGGCATCGGTCAAAAGGAGCCCGCAACAGCCTTCCTGCGTATGGTCAAAAAAGCATGTTTGGGCAAACAGGTTGGACAACCCGTACATCGAGAAAAGAATTCCGCCGGTTGCCATTTCGTTTGCAATTCGTGTCACCTGGTGCATCAGGCGAAGAGACCGGTCTTCCTTAGGCGGGTTCCGATGGGATCAATGGAAAAACAGAAGCCCCTAGTAGCGTCCTTGCTCCTAGTAGCGATGCCAGGAGCCCTAGTAGCGTCCTTGCTCCTAGTAGTAAGGCCATGAAAATTTGAGGAGTTTGAGGTTGCATTGATCATCAATTCAACAGAGGAAGTGCTGGCGCTCTGGCAAAAGCAGTGAGAAAGGTCAGCTCAAGCCACAACTTGTATTGTGTTGGTACGAAGCAAAGTGCTATTTCAGTTGGTCTGATAGAATATGAAAATTTGCTTTTTGACAGACCGTAGACCTTTTAGGCCTTTCATTTTGTTGTTGTCGTTGGTTGTTATTATTCTTTTCTTCTTCTCTAGGTTGGAGGCCATCGCTAGTAGGTTCGAGGCCATTGCTATTAGGTATTTTATTCTTTTTCCTTCTTCCCATTCTTTTTCCCTTCCGTGAGGAGACGGTTTTGGTTCAACGGTTTCAGTCAACAGCACAGGGGCGCGGGCGGTGGGGTGGCGCCCCAGAGCGGTGGTGCTGCTCTTCCTAGTGGTGGTGGCACGCAGAAGGGCATGCCCAAGATGAAGGACTGGACATCGTTAGATGGGGAAATCAGTGGAGCAAACTGAGACATTTTGATGGGACCAGGCGGCCTGGGAATTGCTGCTGGCTGGTCACTGGTTCGTGTGTCCTTGCAAGAGCTATGGCTCAATGGCTCGTGTCACCATGATCTGATGAGTGAAACTGAAACCCAAAAGTTAGTGGAAACACACAATCTTCTTTTGAGTTACTAACTAACTAATAGCAACTAAGAGGGATGGCCTCCAACCTAATAGCCATGATTTGGGATAGACTCCCAAGTTCAGATTGATATCCAAAATCAAGAGTGTTTGTTGCACCAAATGCCCAGCAGCCCGCAGCTAGAACTGGAGAGTCACACGCAACCCATTGGTGTGGAATTGGAATCCAAGAGGGTAACAATTCAGCTGGTCTTGTCAGTCCAGGTGGCAAGCGAAAACACGGGTTGCCGTGCTTTTCCTGTGAGTGTTTCTCCACGGCAGAAGATGAATGCACCTTGTAAGCCCTGCTGTCACGCAGGTTGCGTACTTGAGCTGTTGTGCTCCTCTTTGGATTCTTCACCCAGAGATAGATACCTAGAGCTGGGCCTGGTTGGTGAAGTTGTTTGTTTTTTCGTCCGAAACTCGTAGCTAGAAGCTACTAGGAGCAAAGGGCATCGCTACTAGGAGCAAGGACGCTACTAGGGGCTCCTGGCCGTACTACTAGGAGCAAGAAGCTACTAGCTCATAGGCTCCCGGACTGCACTTTACCAGAACCATCTCCCTCGACCCGAGGAGCAGCCGAAGGAATCCCAGTTCCCGTGCGGGACCTGAGCGCCCCGATATGCGTGAGCCGAGGAACAGCAAGTCGAGGCCTTGTCATTTTCGAGCTCTTTGGGATCCGAGCAAACAGAGTTACTAGTAGCCTTCTTGCTACTAAGGCCAGGAGCTATTAGTAGCATCCTTGCTCCTAGTAGCTTCTAGCTACTAGTAGGAATGGCCTCCCACCTGCTAGCGATGGCCTCCAACCTAGTAACAAAAAGAATTTAATTAGAATTGTAATTACTAGCAAAGGAATCTACCAGGACCTTTTCGCGCGCCGCGCGGGGGGGGTAGGAAGCCACTAGTAGCCTTCTTGTTGCTAGTAGTAACAGGTGCATCGCTAGTAGTAACAAGAAGCTACTAGTAGTAAGGCCAGGAGCTATTAGTAGCATCCTTGCTCCTAGTAGCGATGCCCTTTGCTCCTAGTAGCTTCTAGCTACTAGTAGGAATGGCCTCCAACCTAGTAGCTTCTAGCTACTAGTTCGTCTTGAAGGTTGCCAACTTTGAAAGTGTTGATAGCTGACCCACACACACCTTTGGGCAGTAGATAGGATATGTTCTGTTCTTTTGGCTGGTGTTGTTCAGATTGCCGAATTCCGCCTTGGAAGTTTAGGGAGGAAACCACCTCTTTGGTGATGTAGGCCATGACTGGTTCCAGGCCTTAGCGAAAGTCAGAAGATGGTCTTGGGCTCCAGGGGTCCAAGACTTTGGCTTCGCTCCACTTCAGAGAGAAAAAAGTACAGGAGAACAAGAAAAAAGTAACAAACGCAAACGCTTTTATTTAAAGTTACTAGTAGCTTCTTGTTACTACTAGTAAGGCACTTGTTACTAGAAGCGATGCACTTGTTCCTAGTAGCTTCTTGTTTCAAGAAAAAAAGTAACAAACGCAATAGAGTTCTGGTGTTGTGTATGTATGTTGTGTTTTATTCTGAATCCCTCCGTGGCGCCAATCTTCGAGGTTCAACTTGCTCGGTGGGCCTGGCATCTGAGCTGGCTTGGGACACCTTTGAAGCGGGGCTTTCTAGATGTAAAAGATTTAAGGTTTGATCTAGTGAAGTCAGAGAGTGGTAAATACTCCAGGTAGCGCCCGCCGCTGGTGTGGGATCATCATGGCAATGTCTCACGCAGCTGAGTCCACTTAGAGAGATAAAAACGAATTATAAAAGAATTTCACCAAATCCTACCGTCTCTTACCTTCTCTTGCATCCTCTTAGAATGCACGCTTTGACAAATGCCTATTTTTTCAAGTCGGGACTTGATTACTCCGTACAAACAAAAGGTGCAAAGTCCCATTTTGCAGAAGGGAGAGAGTGGCAACAGCTTCAACGCGTCGGCGGACCTGATCTTCTTCGAAACGGCGTAAAAGGACGAGTCAAGTCAAGCGTCAAGACCTCCAAAGTTTCTGAACGTCAAACTGTTGGTTCATTGTTGTTGACTCCAACTGTCCAATTATATCAAGGCATTGGTGAGGGCCATGAATGTTGTTGGCACCCTTGTCTCCAAGTGATTTGTGGTTTCAATGTTTCAAGTTCAGGAATCCCAGGCAGGGATGCTGAACTTTTGCTTGAAGCCTAGGAGCAAGGACGCTACTAGGCTCCTGGCCTTACTACTAGTAACAAGAAGCTACTGGGAACAAGTGCATCGCTTCTAGTAACAAGTGCCTTACTGGTAGTAACAAGAAGCTACTAGGGGCTCCTGGCATCGCTATTAGGAACAAGAAGCTGAACGGGAATCGTGCCCATCGGGTGCCCCAAACTGCGGTCGCAGGAGCCCCGTTCGTAGCGTCCAGCTTGGCATAGTTTCTGCCTAAGAGGTGCCTCGTTGATGTCCGACAAGTGGCATTTTCTGCTCGAAACAGAGTGTTAGACTCCATCAAAGCTGTCAGGGTCGAAGGTTGAAGGTCCGACCATGCCAATGAAACGAAAAGGACTGATAGGTTCTCTCCATCGAAATTGAGAAGCAGAGATCTGAAAGATGATAGTTCACATTTGCAACTAGACAAATCATGATTTGTATTATCTTGCATCTTTTGGACTGGAGATCCACATTCACAAATTGCTCAGCCCACTTCCGAGCTTCGGAAGCTTCGCTCAAAACATGCGACTGACATGCTTTGGCCCCGGACCTCCACCATGAGCATGGCTTGGCGGGGGAAGTTTGACCCGGAGAATGCCGAGGACGTCCGAATGTGTCAAAGAGCGAGAGCGACTCGGAGCAATCACAGACCAGACATTGCTATTACCTTCTTAACATGTTTTTTGTTGACAGGACTCGGATGAGAGTATGCTCTCGGTGCCTGATGACGCGCGCGTGAAGCCCATCGGCCGGAACGTCTATGCCTTGCTCATCTCCGACGTGACGCAGGCGCAGAATGTTGCATGGCGGTGAAGTGGCTGCGAGCAACGTGAAAAACTCTCTGTCGGAGTGCTTTTTTTCGTCCGCTCCCCCCTCCCTACTTAGTTAAGTATGGGTCTTTGCCGATGGATGATACGCCCAGTGTGCACGACCAGTCAGTTGATGTAAGATGTGGGATGAAGGGCTTGAAGATTTCTGCCCATGTGCCAGGACTATGTCCGCTTGTGGCAAGGCAGCGCCAACCAATGGGTGCGGATCTGTCGCTTGGGCTACTCTGCTTTTCTGATGTTCTTGGTGATCCTCCTGCAGGCCTCAGAACATTTTTTTTAGTAGGCATGCTACTATTACTAGGGGCTCCTGGCATCGCTACTAGGAGCAAGGACGCTACTGGGGGCTCCTGGCCTTACTACTACGAACAAGAAGCTACTAGGGACAGCGCGAGGGGAGCGTCTCGTTTTCTGGTCTCGCAGGTCTTTCTCCTGTATGGCATCTCCACAATGCTTTGTGGCCCTTCAGTGAAGGAAATCCGCCAAGCTTACAGTCACCTGGTGCCAATGCAGATGAATTCAAGGAAACTCCTGGCCCGAGCTTCTCTGTTGGGTGAAAGAGTAGCAGTTTGTGAAGGTCACCTACCAGTAGCGTCCTTGCTCCTAGTAGCGATGCCAGGAGCCCCTAGTAGCT